CTAGATCTGAAATATAATTTATAGCAACCGTAGCTAATCCTCGCAATAGATTTCTCTGTTACTAAAGAAAGGTAGCGTCGTTCCATTAAACTGAAAACTGTTTCGATAACGACGCCGTCTTGCACAAATGTTTGAAATTACGAAATAAAGTACACACTATACGGTTATACATTACAGTTACTTTGCTGTATTTGGATCTGTGATAAAACACTAAGATACACGAACAATTAGTGATGGGCAAAACCGCGTTGTTTTATTGTTTGCTTAAAACCAGCTGCAAAGCACATTTAAAAGCTTTTTGCCTAAAAACGATGATAATGGATTTAAGGTAAATGCATCCAGGACAAACACACAAAAAAAGCACACTTTCGTCAAAGGATAATAAAAAAGTGTAAACAAACACAAAGCCGAGAGATAAACAAGTGTTGACATCTTCGCAAGATTTACATTTGAGGTTGACCCAATTAAATATGAAATCGCAGAGGGAAAGTTTGATCTTCTTTTGCAAACGTTATCTCTGTTTTCGTTTACAATTCATTTAAAAATAGAAAGATGGCGTCCACTGATACAGACACATAAAAGTTTAAAGCTCTAGCAAACGTGCTCATTTTGTTGTTGATAGAACTAACAACACAAATGTTTCGGAAAATGTTTGTCGATTGAATTATCATCGCGAAACAAGTAAAAACGATACTGCATCAGCTTTGTAAACGAGTTATTTTGCGACGAATTGCCTAAACAGAAATTGCAATCAAAATTGCTATTCCTAGACGATGTCTGTTGAAACATTCACTCGATCACAATTTGATCGAAATTTATTTCGAGGGCGCCATAGGTAATTCGTTCGAATTTCTCTACAAATCCGTCGAGTCGCCAATTTTAAAGTTATTTGTTAGAACGTCGCAGAATGAACGATTATATCGTGGACATAGATCGGTCAGCTATTATCACCTGTTCGACTCTGCATGGCGCCTCTGCGGCCCACGCAGTCTTTCTCTCGCGAGCCATTCTACGACTACTCTCACATTTAGGTTTTCGTAATTAGATGTTATAAGCGATTTAACATTTGTAATTAAGATACCTACCTTTGAATTCTCACAGTCACAAGACGAACGAAACTCAGGAAATGCCAAAAATGTTTCTCTCAGCACGTGCCGCTAACCCTTGCGCCTGAAGGTGAAAGAAAAATAAGTGTGTAAATATGCGAGTTTCGCGTCGAGGTTCTCGAAAGGACTCGCTCGAATCTCAGGCGAACGCCTACAACGGCTATCGACTTTGACAAAATCACGCGGCGAAGTTACCGCCGACGACCCCGAAAGACTCGGTCGGCCGTCTTCTCGGCCAAAGTGGAGATTTAGGCGTTAAATAGGTGTAAAGGTTGTACAAGAACGCTTTCAAAACGTTGAGGGCTGAATTGTTACCCCACATGTACGACTGTAAATCAGCTAGTCTATCTATTTGTAGACAGTCCAGGGTAACGTTAAGTGACTAATGGTGTCACAAGTTCCTTTAATTAATTCACCACACCGCTGTTGATAACGTAGATAAGACCTCCCTTGTCACAGTGACAAACCCTAGAGCCTGACACTGTAGTAATTATAGGACGATCCATAGAATGCCTCCATTATTTCTTTATCTTGATTTCCTAGTAAAATCAACTTCCTAAATTAAACTTAGACATTTGCCATCGACATGTTCAACATTCGTCCCATTAATCAACAATTTGACGCGATTTCAATAAACCCCCGAAACGGGCCGTTCGAACGGAACCCTCGTTTGCTCTCTCCACAAGCCGGTAGTATTTTTTCTTAAACAGTCCCCGAAGTTTATCTAAATTACTCACTCCAGGGAAATAAGAATTAATCCAGATCGAATTGATCCTTTACGTTACTACACTACTAAAAAGAGTCGATTCGACACAATCGCACCCCTCAGGACTAATCCTCGTTTTCTAATTAACCGTCAACAGGACTCTCCGAGCGATGCCACCTCTATTTAACATTTATACACGGTTCTAATTGCTGCTGATTCAACGTACGCGTTCACTTTCGATGCAAAACACGTGAAAGATTCACAGAAAACGCAACTCTTGAATAGTCCCAGATTCACTAAAATTCTAATTAATTGAACATCGAATACTGCAGCCGTCACTTCAAATAAAGAGGTCCAAGATAGACCGAGACATAGAACGCAGAGAAAGATTACTTCGAAAATAATATTCGGTGTCTAAGAGAATAGAGGATATTGTTATTGTTATTATAGTATCTTAAAAGTCAAGAAGGGCTTGTGGCAATTCCCAGCTTGTTCGCACGTAGTTCAACTGTCTGATATATCATAATTCTGTCTTTATTACAAGAAAAGCGAGCTTGTTTCAGAACACTATACTTTTGATTTTATTCTGCGTTGTCTTGCTCGCGTTCATCCGCCTGGAGAAATATCACCGATTTACATAGAACCGATTTTAGCTTTGTCTCAAAGTCGTAAAGATGAAGTGCATTGCACATTTTATTGCAACACCGATAGCAACAACGTGAAAGTCTGGCAATCCCTACAACATCTAAAAGAAATCTGAGGTGTTTATGTTGCATTAAATTTACCACGAAAGCTTTCATTTATCGCGCAAAAACTTATACGCATCTACGGGGAGTATTATTTTAATTGAAATTCTCGAAGTAAAGACGGGAGTTACGGGATTTTTTCGTTTATAATTACAGCAGCGTGACATGAACCAATACGCCAATAAGAGCCGAGTTTACTATAAATGTTAGATGCCGTTTGAATGACTGAAAACTTTATGTTTACAGTAGATGTATACACAACTGTATTGACGCATAAATGAACATTTCTCGGTAGTGAACAATTTTACCAACATTGACATATTTTAGGGACAAACCCTGCATTATAGATTGCATGACTGAGTCCATTACTAAGTTCTTGGTGGCATGCAACGTCCCTCATAAAAGTGACCACTTCCAACTTTTAGGTCACAATGAGGTGTCCATTTCAACGTTTCAAAAATGCTCTAACCGTGTTTGTCATATTCCACTCAAGTCAGCTCGGAAATCATCTTCTCCTTTTTGACTAAAATTTTTAACTTTTGTGAAATTTTAGGTTCCTACGTACTTGAAGCCGCCACCTTAGCCCAAAATTGTGAATGTGAAAGATTAACATGCACTTGTTGCGTAAATTTCAATTCTGCGAGAGGTAAACACGTATTTTAAATTACTAATTCAAGTTCTCCTTCTCTCTCTTTCGTGTTAACACCATCACACTCACATTTTTCATTTCAGCGTGCGTCGCAGCGACTTACGTCCCTGCCGATCTCGCCCTTTACGTCAACATTTTGGCGAATGGAGATTCCGTTTACGCAACTAAAATAGGTATTTCCAGTCCAGCTTGAAAATCGATGAGAATTAAATCGTTGTAGATTCTGGAAATTTTCCGATTTGTGCGCCCGTTTTTCCTCCGGCATGTTGGGCTTTCAATCGCATCCACATAGATAAAGACAATGTTCAAGTCTGTTCGGAAGTTAGAATTGGACCAGTGCCCATTCTCAAAGTGCCCTGTCTGGCATACGCCGGAGGCAATTTAATTGCCAGCCCCAACAATTACTAATTTTTTTGTGATGGACATTGTGCAAGGTTTTAATCCGCGTGTTGTTTATCGTGACGCTTAATCCTCATGTTATAAAATTTTGCAACGTACATGATGAATTCTATTATGTATAATCATATCCTTTGTCAGTGACGTTTAATAAAAGAGCGTTGATTCGCGGAAATTTTTTACACCAGATGGCATCTTCTTGTAAAATATTGTGCTTACATTTCTCCCAGCGAATAGGAAAAAAAGCAGTGTGTTCTTCGCTAATGCGCTAAATATGTAACCTGTATGAGACAAGCTCAGACGTGACTCAACTATAAAGCATAGAGGTGGTTATATTTTTATTTTAGCATTTGCAAAATAAATTTAAATAACAGGACAGCGACAATTAAAAATTTCCACCTGCGATATGCATGCAGGCTTTGTCTTTGAATTAACTATGCGCAATTGTTGATACTGCACGCGCAACTTTATTATTCCGAGAATTATACAATAACATTACAGATATTATTATGATTATTATTTTTCCACCTGTCACAACTGACCTCCCAGAACCACGATTTTATAATTTAAATTCACGAGATTTTTATTTTCCAAGGTAAAATAGAATTTCTGTCTTCTTATCAGGTCTATAAGAGTATAGATAGCCCTGTGCGGACAATAAAGATTTACACTTTAAACTTTTGCTGACTTATGGTAATGTGAACTTGTGAGTGTTTTATTTTTTGCGATAAGTTAATTAAACACCGCCAAAGCATTTATTTTTATAACATAAATTAATTTACAAGTAGCTACTTTGTTCACACCTGGATACATGCATTATGTGTATATAACAACGATGATTTGGCAGATAAAAATTCGAGTACCTATTGAAATTCTGTATCTAGATTCTCGTATTGTTATATCGACATTTTTTAAATAGTTTTTCTTTAAGATTCCAGAATTAGTGGAAATACTTAAAATGTTGCAAAGGAATGTGAAATGTTAACGAACTGTGTATTGTTTAGACTTTTGCAACTGATTTGGATCCTCAGGACTTAATACATAAGTTACAATTGCGAAATTAATAGCTCGTTTTTACCTCATATTTAATTGGCTATAAAGGGATCACATTCCGATATACCAATAGAATATCGACATGTATGAATAATTTATTATCTGTAATCCTATAGATTGTATCACAATTAAAATATTCTCGACGAAATATAACAACCTCTTAACTCCGATTTTTATCTGATTTTTTCGTGATAAGAAAATATATAAATTAGAACCGATTATTGTAGCCGTTAGAAAGCAATTACCACCAAGATGAAAATAGTAGTTTTGCTTTTGCTAGTTCTCCCTTTCGTCTTTGCTGGTCCTGGTAAGATCACATTTTTTGATTCCCTTTTTTTATACAGTCGAATCACTCATTCAGCTCAGGCCCCGAGACGCTACATTCCTCAAGAAAATGATCCAGACTTTAAAAGATACATAAACGTGGAAACCGAAAATGGGGAACTAAAGATGATTGATTTGAGGGAAGGAGGAACAGTCACACCTAGAGTCGGAGTATCAGACGTTGAATACGATCTCTATACCCGAAGCAACCAAGATTCTCCTTTCACCATCACCAACAACGATATAAACTCCCTGAGCAGCTCAAACTTTGATCCAAAGAAAGTCAGCATTTTCGTTTCCCACGGCTGGAACAACAATCGCGGCTCTTCAGTCAACACTTTGATCAAAGAGGCAATTTTTGGTAACTACGACATTAACTTGTTCATAGTCGACTGGAGCGGTCCTGCTAACGAATTCTATCTAACTGCCAAAAGCTCCGTTGTTCCCGTTGGTGAAATCATTGGTCAGTTTATCAATTCCATTCAAGACACGTACGGTCTCGACGGCTCGTCTTTCGTCTTGATTGGTCACAGTCTAGGTGCTCACGTCGCTGGGAGTGCAGGAGCTACGGTCACCAAGAAGGTGGCTAACATCATTGGTTTGGATCCCGCAGGACCTTTGTTCACTTTGGACCATCCAGAGGAACGTTTGGACGTTTCAGATGCTCAGTTCGTGGAAGTGGTTCATACCGATGGGAACCTGCTCGGGTTTGCTAGCTCGATCGGGGACGTCGACTACTTTCCCAACGGCGGAATGTCACAACCTGGTTGCGGTATTGATCTGGCTGGAACTTGTGCCCATGGTAAAGCTTACAGATACATGGCCGAAGCACTGACCAGAGGGCCCGTCTTCAAAGCTCACTTGTGCTCCGACTGGACACAATTTCAGGCCGGCAGTTGCAACAATAACCAACTGGGTGTGATGGGCGAAGTTCAGATCACTACAACGTAAGTAGATGATTCTGGTCACTAAAACAAAAATATGTATGGTTCTATTTTGCAGCACCCTGGGTGACTACTTCTTGGAAACAAACGCAGATGAACCGTTTGGACAGTCGTAAAAAGGTTTCCGTAGTCGCAAAAACTGTAGATGATTTATTGTATTTGTTAAAAAATACACGTATATATTTATAGACACGAATTGTTTTATTGTTTCTAAGTGAACACTATTTTTTAACATAAGCGAATATTATCCTTATCACATTCGCTTACAGTAGGAGATTTATAGACTCGGATTAACTTCTAATCCCGGAACGAATAAAAACAAGATTGTATTGGATTCCCCACAAATAAAAAATATTATAACTCTGACACTTTTTCGTTTTGCAAAGTTCCAAACATGATGAACCCAGTGGTTTTTTTGTTCTTGATTCCTTAGTGCGTGGTATCCTTTAAACCCTCTGAACTAACTAAAAAAAACACAGATTTTTTAGATCCAATAGGGATCATCGATAGTTAACAAACGAATCCGCTCGTGATAAGGCACGTTTACGAAAACCGCCACGTTAACGGTTTAAGTAGTTCACATTTTGATCCAATCAGACTTACCGTTTTCGTGGTTCATGCTTGGACGCAAAACCGCAAATCTGAACTCAACGTTCTTATCAGAGAAGCTCTATCGGTTCACGTGGTTGAAAGCGCAGGAGCTACTGTGATGAATAAAGTTCAAAATATTGTAGATCTGGATCCTGCGGGATTACTATCCTCGGGAACAACCGGGAAACGTTTAGACGCTACTGATGGGGTTGTTCACACGAATGGAAAGTTGCTCCGAATGGAGGATTCTATCGGCCATGTTGATTATTATCCCAAAGGAGAAATGGCGCAACCTGGCTTGGGCTGAACCGTACGGGAGTGTGTTCCCACATGAAATCGTATAAATACTTAGCGAAAGCAATCAGAAGAGGAGCGTCAGTTTTTCGACTTAAATTATGTAGGAGTTGGACGAATTTACAAAATGGTGTATGCGCAAATCAGTACAAGGACTGGACAGAAGTGCCACTGGACATTTTTTATTTTAAACAAATAAATTTTTTATTACAAAAAAAGTCACCGGGTACGATTATTGTATGAAGCCCGTACATTTTATAGAACCCACATGAAAGTTAGAACTCCGAATGTTTATAGTACGAAGGTACTGTAAGTATAAAAAAGTACCCATCATTTTATTCATTTTTTTTATTCCATGGAAACATAATATCCACTCTGTTGTAATATGCACGTGTCGTGTATATCATATACTAATATACTTTTAAACGAAAATCAGTCTGCATAGGGGTAGATGGACAGTGCCACCTTACGGTAGAACTAGCATAAGCAAGGGTGATCAATGCATGAATTCAGGTTTTTCTATAATCACTTGAACTACAGCGACATCTAACCACGAGAGTTGAAATTATTGACCACCAACAAAGGAGTTACCTATTACATTTATATTAAAAACGATATTAATAAAAAAAATGTAGTACACTCTGGAGTCAAATGTACTTCAGTAACAAAAAAATTACTTAGTAACAAATTATGTTTGCATTTTTTAAATACTTACAACATAAAAATGACAAATTTTGAAAACCGTCGACACCTAACTTTTAAATATCGTAAAAAAAAATAAATTAGTTAAATAAACACTAAAATAATTAGTGATTTGTCATGCAAAATTTGGGTTCCATCGATAGATTTCTTATCTCTGGATGACTCACTACTGCACAATTATTACCGAGTCACGGTCCTTATTCACCCTAAAATAATCTTTGGCCAGCATTGTCAACTTAAAAAAATTGTTACTAAGTAGATAGGCCTGTGCAATTATTGTGGCAATAAAGATGATCTACTGTTTGTAAATTGTACACACTTACGGACTGTCTGGAAAGCTCCTATATCGCATTTCGCTCTCTTGTTAGTATTTACGTTAGTAGCAAACTTTAAAAGTGTCAAGAAGATAAATGATGGATTAGATTGTATTAATTTCTATCACTTTTATTATTTTATTACCATATTATTCTAGTTTATTGCTATGAATAAGTATTACACTCGTGATTGATGAAACCTATAAAAACAAAAGAGACTTCGTACGCTTTGCAGTGCAAAAACCAACCATGAAGATACTGTGTTTGCTTTTTGCACTCGCCTCAAGCGGTTTATGCCGCATCTATCACCCCGAAGAAAATGACATTAACTACAAGAGGTTCCAAACGCTGATAACGAAACAAGGAGATATCGAAACTATAGACCTCATGCAAGTGACAGTCAGAGTTGTAGAAAGTGACGTTTCGTATTATCTCTACACCAAAACCAACATCGATGCTCCTCACAGCATCAAGAACAGTAACGCAGAAGAACTTTCCAATTCGCCGCACTTTGACCCTTCGAAAAAAACCTTCTTCATCATTCATGGATGGGTCGACGACTACACCGCCGACGTCAACAGCCTAGTTAAAGCAGCTATTTTGAAGAAGATCGACATTAACATCATCGTCGTCGACTGGAGCCCAGTCGCCAGTCAAAGTTATGGAACGGCGCAAGGCGCGGTCAATAATATCGGGAGCTTCGTGGCTAACTTCATCAATAACATGATCGACACTTACAAACTATCAGGCAGTCAAATTACACTGATTGGACATAGTCTTGGTGCACACGTTGCTGGAAACGCTGGCGCTCTGATCAAAAGCAAAGTATCTCACATCATAGGGCTTGACCCAGCAGCTCCATATTTTACCGTCGACAACACGAACAACCGTCTGGACCCAACCGACGCAGACTATGTCCAAATCATTCACACAAATGGACGTTTCCTTGGCTTTTCTAGCTCCATAGGACACGCCGATTACTATCCAAATGGTGGAATGATACAAGCTGGATGTGGAATTGATCTTCTTGGAGGTTGTTCGCACGCCAGAGCTTTCCAATACCTCGCTGAAGCTATAGAAGGGGGAAAATTCACGGCCGCTTTATGCGGAAGTTATACAGATTTTCAAAACAAGAAGTGTGCGAATAACAATAAGGCGCTTTTGGGGACTATTGAGGTCGACAAGAGGTAATTATCGTTTCGTCTTTGAGCAGCTGAAATATTTTTCTCTTGCAGTGTTGTTGGAGACTTCTTCCTGGATACGAAAACTGCACAACCTTACGCTCAAGGGTAGATGCTTTTAACAATGGATACGATACGATTATTCTATTACTTTAGCATGTAAAAAATGTGTCTTAGGTATAAGTAGATTAAGGTCTGGCATTAATAAAGTTTACCTATAAAGTAGAAATTTTGTGTGTTCATTTAACATAGTGATCTAACAATTACAATAATAATATACAATATATTGCATGCATTAAATTTGTTTACAAATCTTTTTCTACTAGGTACTGTTTCTGCATACCTTGACTACAGTTTATACTTGTTTTACTTATTTTTGAACTTACACATGCATTTATCATAATAAATTTGAATAATTTAATTGACGTCTGATTACATTGGAAGTGTAATTATTACATGGACGTAAATTTTATAGTGTGATAACGGCTTAAAATAACCTCAACACTTTGAAACTTCCAAAACACTACCCTCATTTTAAAACAACGTTACTTATTCCTAGTCAAAAGTAAATTAGGGCAGATCTGCTGATTTAATTTAGTAAAGTTTGTCCAGAATTATAAGAATTTTATGGACTCCCAACGTTAATTCGTTTTACAGCCTTGTCGTCAATTCTATTGTACAGGTAAAGAGCCTGTCAGGAAAAAGCCAATGTTTACTGTACCTGAGTTCGCCCCGCTCATCAGCTGTACAATCAAATTGACAACAGGGCTATAAAACGAATTAACTTTGGGAGTCCATCAAATTCTTATAATTCTAGACAAACTTTACCACAATTTCTCCACGATTTTTTTTTGGTCAGTCAAACATCAAGTTGGATAATTTACAACATAAAAAAGATTTTTATTGTGATTGTCCATAAATTGTAGATTAGAACTTTATAACTTTAATAAAAAATTACCACAACAAGTGTGATTATGAATCTTGGATTTCCTTCAGTAACTTACTCTTAATGTCATCTAACGTGAGGTTCGCTGTAATCTTCAATGTCTTAGATTTTGACTTAAACCCCTAAAAACAACGACATAATGAATGAAACCAAAAAACAACTAATACCTTGTCTAGGACCACATCACTCTTTCGCAGTCCTAATACAGATGCCATGTATTTTACTAATTCTGTGTTTGCTTCTCCTTCGCTTGGAGGAGCGCCTATTTGTACTCCAACTCCTTCAGGTGAGAAACCTGTATTTTAAAAATGGTCATACTTACACTTATAGCAATAATTATTTGTCAGCCCCTACTTGTTATAGCGCTCTGTTTGGCACCCGGTTTTGCCAATATAGAAATAATTATATTATTTGCCTTATCTACGCTTAAGGGACCCTCTGTCTAAAAAACTACAACTTAAGTCACCCTTGATTAATAATCAATACTCTTCATACTTTGGAATGAGTTTCCGTTTCTTTCTGCGCGCCCTTATTTTTTGCTTTCTTCGACATGGCATTCGTAATTTCTTTTCTCAGTGAAGATTTTTTGTAAAATAACGAAGAAAACATACAAATTCGCCTAAAACGTACGCGCACACAGCTCAAAAAACTAAGGGATTGAGGTTATGTTCGAGACAGTGACAGTTGGTGACACTGGTGACGGTTGTCCTTTTACAGCTGACGGCGACACTAGTTTTTAGGTTATTATTTAAAATTATTTTATTTCACGTTCGCCCTTCCACAAAATGCCGAAAAAGTTTTCCACAGAAAATCCGAAAGCGGTTGCAGCCAGAGAACGTAAAAAAACTGCTAAAGAAGCCGAGTCTAGCAAGAAACAGCAACAACAAGAAGAAGCCTACTGGGCAGATAATGACAAATTGATTAAAAAGAAACAACAAAGAAAGGTAAATTGTAGCTTAGTTTTGGAAAATAGCTATAATAATTTGTTTAAAACAGGAAGATCAGGACAAGAAACGCGAACAACAGCTTGCTAAGAAAGCCGAAAACAAAATGCTCCTCGAGCAAGAAATGAGCACTCTGAAACCTGGCAAAGCGAATCCGCCATCGAAAATAACTCGAGCTCAAATCAATAACATGGCTAACGTCAAGAAAGATGCGGAAAAGAAGGAAAAAATCGTGACCCATCTAGACGAGCCTTTAGTAGAAAATATCAACAGGCTCGAAATTGAAGGAGAGGAAGCAAGGACTGTAACCGAAGCGATCGGTATTTTGAGGTAACACAACTTTTATTTTCTTAGTAGAAAACGTCCTGTAACAATCTGGAGCGCTAGCCGTTCATTAACTACTTAAACGTATACAGAGCGATACAACCATGTTTAACATACAGGATGATCACCTTATTTAAAAAATTATTCACTATGAAGGTATTTAAGTAAAGAATTATGAAATTAAAGTTATTAAAAGTGAATAAAGTATTATAGTTTATGTATTAATACTATTTTGACTAGATTGTGAATTTAATGATATGCACAAATCAAGTTATGGTTAGTTTTTGAAAGTAAATCAACTTTTTTTGTACGAATTAATAACATTTTATATTATTTTCAAGTTCCAAGCCTGAGGATGTGGACAAGCACCCAGAGCGACGAATGAAGGCGGCGTATACGGCTTTCGAAAATAGACGTTTAGAGGAACTGAAAATCGAAAATCCAAATTTGCGTTTGTCGCAGTTGAAGCAAATGATTTTCAAGGAGTGGCAAAAGTCTCCCGAAAATCCAATAAATAAGCAATAAGGTCGATAATACTCCAAACGACGGTAATCGCGCTATATAACTTTGGACAATACATGGTTAAAATTAGGGAAGTCGATATTAATCCTAAGATGCACTAACCTCCCCACTTAGAGCTTATTTGTTGTCTTATCCCCCAAAACCACGATTTGTATACATTTTAGGAGGAAAAGTCAAGTTGTATTTTGTTGTATCGTTAATAGATAATTTATGAAATTTTTTTATTTTATTCAAATTACACTCATTAATATTGACTACTATGTCATATTTCGAGTAGGTAGCGCTGGAGGAGGAACGTCCGGTATGTTGGGGTTTCTTTTCAAGTTAGCTATTACGTTTTTCGGATTGTCAGACTTCTGGTAAAATTCTTCCGGATTCGGGGAAAGTTTTGGTTGCGGCTGAGGTTGATTCGGTTCGTTTATCGGGGTAAAATAACCCCCACTATTCAAAACGTGGGGGGTGTAAGCATACGGAATGAACTGCTCCACCGGCAAAGGTTGTAACGACTTTTGCGACTCTTCATTGTTTTCCGTTTTCCCTACGTTCTCCAAAGGCTCACCTCTGGCAACCTTAAATCGCGGAAATCAGCACGCATGCGTTACTTGACTCATACTTACGAAATTCGGCTGGAAAGTGGCTATAGGCGATTGATAAAAAATTGGCGGTAGAGCAATTCCTAACGACGTCGTTCTCAATACGGGCTCGTATACTGGTAGAGCATGACTAGGCGACAAATTTTTCTTTGTGCTGATAAGAACGTTGTAGATTTTCGGCGTTCGTGGGTCAGCACTTACGAGGAATAGCAGTGCTGACAGTGAAAACAATCTGTACATAATATCTGAAAAAAAAAGGCATTGAACTAAAGGTCACTGTCCTTCAAGCAAATCTCCGAATTTCGATCTGTATTTTTCAGCGGATAAACGCGTTTACGTGGCGATGTTTCACTAAATAAAACAGAAAAATACCATTACTGATGCGGGTTCCAGTTGGTTAGGTTCAGGATGTCTTCAGTAACGTTTTTTGCGCTGATTGGGATGCGGTTAAAAGCAGGTAGTTTTTTGCCGCGGCAAATCTCATTGTCAATTCCGATAACAATTAGAATATATCAATGATTTTTACGGACGGCGGCTAACCGGAACTCTGAGTAATAACTTCGCGATCTGAACACGTGGTAAAGACCTAAACTGAGACTCGAAACGTTATTTCCAGTCTGCTGAATGCTGAATCATAATTCACATTTTATGTTTTAATACGTGTGCTATATAGGTGTTTGATCCGTCATACTATTTACACGCAATATATAGAACACTTTTTTTTATAAAGTATAGGTACTGCACCCTGTAAGTACTTAAGCTACGTAATGATAATAACTGAGTAATTTTGGTAAGGGGTGGACGGTTTAGTATTTGTAGTAGGAGCACTATACGTCAAAATTTGGAAAATGTCGCGTCAAACTAGTCATCACGTTAATTACGTTTATTTATAAATTGCGGTGAGAAAATTAGGCTATTTATTATCCACCGATCACGAGATTCGAACTCATTTGAATGTATTAAAACTGCGGTTACTAACCACCTGATTATTATACAACAATTAAGCGTTAATTTGAACAGGTCACTTTTGTAATAGCGCGTTGAATGAAATGCCATTGAGTTAACAGGCGGTATGATTATAATAATTAGAGCGAAGCCGGTAAATCGCGATACAAATAATCATAATCCGTAAAACACATCACAAATTTTGAATGAATCTTCTGTATCTACACTAAAACAGCACATGGTATTGTTTACCTTGTATAAATTGTTTCACGTCACAACTGCAAATAATTGCCTTGATAAAACAGAGAGGTCTTATATAGTTGTTGAGGTTGTTCTTTGTACCGCTCAACTATTCGTGTTCACTTGTGAAGTACATTTTTCAGACAAATCCCTTCACTAACTCGAGCCTTGTATGCAATCAAGGTATTTGCAATTAAATTTATTGTTGTTGTGGTGATTACTCTCGGCTCGATAAATATTTTTCCCACGAACCAATCGATACGCACAACGAATTTCTACATTGCGTGAATTCAAAATTTCATATACTAGATGGAAGAAATACTAATATCTCTAAGGCGTGGACGCGTCTCTTATGAAATACGACAACAAAACGTTTAGAAGCTTTGTAAACAACGTTGGCCAATTGAGGGAGTGTCTCGACAGTCTTCATTCAATTTTTGACACCCATGTATTGTTTTTGCTCGCTCGAGAACCTTTTACCGTTTCAAGAACGACTGTAAAATTGAACTTGAAACACGCAGTTTGATAAGGTGACAAGAAAAACTAGTTTAATTCGCGATACGCCTAAATTCAACTCTCACCTAATGAATAAAACTTTATTTTAACATAAATTTACACGCTGTTTTTCTTATTCTTAATATCGTAGCCGAATATTTGGACGTAGAAGTGAAATCCTTTTCCATATTCGGTCATCACATTGAATTCGACGTAATTATAACCGACGCCTCCAGCCACGTAACTCGGATAACCTCCAGCACCGTCGGGCACTTCGTCGTGGATCTTAACGCAAGTGATGTACACGTCGGCCTCCACGTTCACCTAAGTATCAACGAAAAACTATTACTCCTCACACAATTCCAAGTATTGTTATTATCATTATCATTATGTTTTATGATATTAGCGTGTAAGTGTTATAAAAAAAACAAATTGATTCACGCGTTCATTCATGTCAGTAATAATTTACTACTATTATTATCCACACACACATAGAGAGAGAGGTTTGATTACAAACGGATCGGATTTTAACGACGCGAGAATTTTTCGCACCCTCGACTAATCCATCTTTGCGACAAACTGGCCGACTCGGTTCCGAGAACGAATCCTTTTAAGGGTCTGTTTAAGGTGGTGTAATTTCGACACGAACATTTTTCCTACATATTTCAAGTGTCTCAGGTTCGGACACGGTAAAACCATTAGTAGTCCCTAGCCCGGAAGAATATTTCGAGGGTGTGTTTTAAGGGCAGCTCCGATGTGGCTCAAATTTGGCACAAAGAATAACGCCCTTGATAGCGTCGTGTGTGCCAAATTTGAAGTCGATCGGGGTATTTTTGGAGATATGGACAACCTTGTACGCTCGAGCCCGAAAATGGATGCTTTTAATGACCTTCTAGTTAATGCAAATCTGACATGAAGAATTCTGGTGTTTCGAATGGAACAGTTGCTCTGGGATGGTTCAAAGTGGCACGCAAAATTGCCACGAAATTACCTCTGCGCGTTCAAAGTTGGTTTACCGTTCTGATGTAAATTTGAGCGCTTGTCCTTGCCTTGCCATTAATATCGACATGTGCAGTGGGTGCCCCAGTTTATTTATTGTAAGAAAAATAATCTTATTGACAGTAAATACTCGTATCATAACTTATTAGCATTTAATAAGGTCACCAAAAACACAATTAGGCAGTTCCTATATAACGAGATTTTATCTCCCAGACGCGCACCCACAAATCGAACGTAATTTGTTTCGGAAATTGGTAACCTTGTGGTTTATTTTTGCTCAAGTTCGCGTCCCTTCAAGATATCGAGTAAATTCAACATACTCTTATGCCCGCAGCGACATGACTCTTGCCGTCGTTATAGAGAATGATGTTTTCCTGGTGCAAGATGTTGTCGTCGGGACTGCATCGACCGATGAAGAGATGATGCGGTTTTTTTAATACTTTGTATTCGACTAAAACAATTCGATAAAGGAGGTGTTTTAAGGGTTGTTTTATTACTTACTCGTACTGCGGACCACTTCTTTCGTTTTTATGGTCGTCTGAGCTGATGGTGCAGAACTGGGAACTGCCGGTGCACAGTTGATGAAAGAAATAAACGCGTAAAAAAGGACGAGCCGTAAATACATGGTCGAGTGTGTCATATGAGATTCTGAAAATTTTAATGTTCGTGTGCGCTTTGTTAAATTTTGTAGGCTGCTGGCCGGGGAAAGGTTATCAGCGGTAACCCTAAATATTATTATAATGAGAGGAAACAGTCTTCATTTTTATTACAAAATATAAGTTTATCTTGAAAATGTTTGGCTTGAGTTTTTCAACGTTTAAATCGTTTGTATATTTTTTGCGAAAAGGCTTCTAATAGGGATTTATGGTTTTCTTCATTTTAATTCTTTGCTGCGATCGTAAACAGAACTGTTGACCAATGAGTCAATAATTTCGGTTAATATAAACACTTAAAAATGTTACAAAAATGTTATTTCATTTAAAAAATATATACACCTAACATGTAGTTAAGCTACTTTGTTTAAGGGTTTTCAATAATAAACATTCTGTAATGTTGGTTGCATAACACCGTCGACGCTACGAATCAGATATTGTGAACATTTATTGACACGATACTCCTTATATTTGAAAATGAGTGTTACCATAGACAATAGACACTTTTTTGACTTGTATTTTTATTATTAAAGTTTATTTAAACGTTAAATGAAGAAATAATATCAATCAAAATTGTTTTCAAACTACTACGGTATGCAACCTTCTCAACGCCGATGTGTATATTTGGACATCTACACACAGCGTTAACACAAGTATCTCTGATCGATCTTCACACGAGTAAACGACGATAAAATAATAATGCCTGAGTTTATAAAACAATTTTTAGTTGATTGATCCTGCTATGATTCAAACATTTCTCCACAATGAAGCATGTGCATACAATTATAAAACGCGGGAAAAATTTAAAATTTGGCGCGAAATTTGATTCCTCCTTATAAACCTTATTTAAGAAAAAATGTGTCCTAGCAGAAAAACACTTTCTACAGTTGACTTTTAACTCTGCCTCACTTTATTTTTTCGAATTATTAAAACTTCGCTGTACCGACTGAAGCGAGATAGACAAAATTATGATTCTTTATTTTATTTCCGAAACAAAAATTAACCGTGGGTAAGCGTCCTATTCAAACCGATCTTTTTGCAACCAAAACACAAGTACATCTGATTCTGTGAACATGCATCGGACGTAACGCAAGCAAAGCATGGATATAAATTCAAACTTGTACGGATAAACAGCGCATAAGAATTTTCAGCTTAGGTGGGAAAGCGGAAGATAAATTTGGATTTGTACATCTAACTGGTGCGTGAGCATACTTGTACAATTTTGGAGGGTGAGAGCGCGACCGGCAGAGAGGAAAACTGGAAAGGCCACCGAGAATCGGCACAGGACAACAGTTGGGGCTTCGGATATGGAGTGCACAGAAGCAGAGAATTTATATTCTTTATTACTTGTTTTTCTTTTGGTCGTTCGATAAATTAGACGTAAAGCTAAACCTGAACGTGGTTTGCGTTTTGGGCTTGAAACATTGCTCGGTATCTAATTAGTAATTACATACAGCGCATAACACAGTATTGGAAAACTAATGACCTTGAAACTTCATAAGTTTTGTTTTTTATTTGTAGTGAAGTTGGTATTTTCGCCGCATGGCCATGTTTCAATTTTTGTGTTTTATTAACAAACACAGTGAGGGTGGTAATTAGCTTTCGAGTATCTTGCAGCATTTAAAATTTTGTAACTGGAGTTTCTTATCTCCTTACGCATTATTCGAAAATCCTCTTCAGCGGCAGTACTGAAAGTAATCGTTTCGTTAGTTTCTGAAATTGTCATTTCGCTATATTTCTAAACGAGGGAAACAAGAAACCGACTTTCTCGTGTACCGGCGTTCGTCAAAACGGCCCAGTTGCAAAAAATGTAAAACAGAATCGACCGGGAGCCGCCATGACGTATGAATGCATAAACGATTTTTTAAAATATTCACGTGCGAAAATCGGCATATAACGGCGACAACAAACTAATTGATGACACCGTTAAACCAAAAAATATTTACGAGCGCAGCCCTTAATCTTTATGAATTTTTTCCGAGAGTGCGTCGTCTTGAGTTGTACAGTATCGGATTTAAAGGTTCGTCGCGGCAATTTAGGCCTAAATTTGCTCTCAATTAGGCTTAATTGATTTATTCCCTACGCAAATACAGTTTTCGTGTCGCTTTGTGAAGGTTTAATTCTGTGTTGAAAGCGGAAATCGTAACTTACTTTGTCTAGTAGTAGTACGGATCTGTGTGTGTATATGTGTGTTTTTTTTTTTTTTAAAGGCGAATCTCTGTTATTATTTCGCGAGTCCGCTGGGACGGTATGCTGCTAATAAATGGGTTCAATTTCGAGGCAACGCCATTGTCTTGGTTTTTCAACGTCCTGCTTTTGTATAATCCTGTTTTAAATAGTTTTTACGCTTTGATAAAATTTTAACGTTTAATTAGGCAATTTGAAAGTGATATCTAAAATGAGCGGGAGAAGTGAGGATTTGAAGTTTGAAAATATTATCCTTGCTGACAATAAAAGACGTCATGTACCTTGAATGCAGATTATCTCGGAGAAGTGGCGTATTTTGCGTCAATAAGCCGAGTGTTGAGCAAGGCATTCATTTGGATTACCGCTAATAAAAACGAATGTTTAAGTATTAGATTTAGGGTTTAAGTAAGAAGGTTTTTGTAATTAATGAAGACGCATTGGAAAATTTCTCGCGCTGCTGACCGAAAAAAATGCACGTTATAATTAAAACGAAGATTTTTATTAAGCGTTTACATTTACCCTGGCGATCGTTCCTTTTTTATTAATTTAGAGATAATTCTGCATTCGACTGTTTCGCTCTATATTAATAGCCTGTACTAACGCAGCTCAAGCGTCAAATAATTGGATTGCTTAAACAAAAACACGTTTCATCACCAATTGAAGCCAAAATGCGCGGTAAAGCTTAACATTTTATTTCTATTTAACTGAAAATTCTTCACTAACACGTATAATCACATCAGAACGCACTTGACTGGATTGATCAGATATCGACATTCGCTCGATTTCTCTCTCCATTACACAATCAATTCTTTTATAATGTGCCGTTCGCTTTGTCCTTTAACTTGCACAGATATGAATCAAAATTTATGTTAGAAAATAAAACGCGGGCGACATGAGCGAACGTCTAACTTTCCGCGGACTCCGGGGATACATACTGAGAATGCATTAATCCTTAGAGCGGCACTAAAGGTGCAAAGTATATTTTATAAAATATTCATAAAAAATGAAACCGATAAAACTAAACGTGCTCCCAGAATAAACAGACAAAAATAAATGGCAAATTGTTTTTACATAAATTTACTGCGCGAGCTTGCAACGGAGCATGAACCATTTTTCGACATCCCGTCATTTAACTCATTTGCTTTCTGAAAACCCTGCATTTTAAACCTGTCAGTAGCCGCGGTATAATCAATTTAATTAAAAAAATCGAAACGTATATGCCCAATTACCTCATCAGACTGATGACGCAAATTTGCTCGCTTAGTAGTTGTTTTCTCGGGCATGCCATTTTACATTTATTTTTAAACACACCGTTACCTTATACCGCTCCCGTTTCTAACTGATCACTTTTATTAAAAATTAATGTATCACCAAAAACAGAGCGTGAATAATCCGCTATGTTCGGGACGGCTCTTTTTAAAAAGTTATACAGGATTCTAAAGCACAAAAAGGAATCCAATTCATCCGAAATTTACCCAAAGACATTTTATTCTAGATCTAGGCCCCCAGAAGCTATTTTTGGTCTCATTTTTTCGAAAATTCCTATAGTTTTTCCAGAGTCGCTATATGCAGAATTGTTTCCGGATTTTTAGGATACTTTTCCATAAAGCTCAATTTTTCAGTATTTCCTCCTTATATTTTCGACCATTATTTTCCACTTCATTTCATCGAAAATTTCTATCATTCTTCCAGAATCGCCAATTAGAATAAGGAAATTTTTAAGATGAATAAAGGATTTTTTGGCCTCCCGATCTGTAAAGAGCTCATTTATGAACGGTGGATGTCCACGGTAACAAGGATTTTACAGTTATTCATTGTTTTACCACATTGCGATGGGGTAAAATAACTCGAAATTTTTGAGGTTTAAGAGGCTTTTAAAAAATAAATTGTTTTAGAAATAATAAAGGATACCGACAGAAATACAATTTACGCAAGTTTTTGTTCAACAGAACGTATGAAAAATAAAGGAAATTAATATTTTTAAAATGAAAAAATGACAGCGTTATCTTAGGACAACCATTTCAGTCCGCAACAAATTTTACCTAACCAATCACATCATTTCATTTATCTGATATAAAGTGTCAAAAATAAAAGCAATGCACAAATGCATAACATAAAGTAAGGTAACAAACGATAGTGGATTTCATCCGTCGATTAGAGCAATAACTGCCACGGACGTTGAAAAAATATCAGTACCTAAGTAGCAAAATATTTTGACATTCTTCTTTCGTGGCAAATGCTTTAACGTAACGCCTACTGCAAAACTGTTTAAAGCAGCGTAGTCAATACCGGGTTACAATTTCGTAGGGTTTGAATTTGTAAGATTAGTATAAATATAAAAATAGGTCGGACAAAAAACTTAATACATTATTTGTGCGTTAGTGCTTCAAAATTAAAACCTCGCCTGTAAAAAGCTACCTACCGCACTCATAATGTAAATAAGTATTCAAATCGAATATTACGAATTTTCTCTACTCCAAAACGTTTAAAAAGCAATATTTCGAATCGGCACATTCAGATCTATAAAGCAGAATTTTTTGACAATTTTCAGTATCCGTCTATTTCTTACTTCTATAGCTGTCCATATTCTTCTGTATACTTCCATATCTGTTAATAACCTTCTATATCTATCTATATTTTTCTATATCCGTCTATATCTTTTTGTATCCACCTATATTCTATGTACATACGCCTATACAGGGTTAGTCACGAGAGAATTACTTCTGAAAATTATTTTTACGCAACCCAAAAAACGAATGCCATGTACCATTTGATACTAACTGAATATAAAATGAAATGCTTAATCCATGATTGCTTTGAGTTTGGCAATGTCATTTTGACAATTGTGGAAAAGGAGGT